AAAAAATTTTAAATTCCGCTGCGTATAGTTCGTACGTTACAGGCGAACCCAACAGTCATAACATTGGAGATGCTCTTACATGTCATACTTGCAGGTTTAAATTAAGAAAATTGATTGACGCTAGTCCGAAGCAAATTTCTCCCATAGTCAGCGATTTCTACGCCTAATCCGCATTACTCTCGTCACCCTCTCTCAAATTTGTTACCTTGTCTTCACTTTTCAACCGGAGTAACTCAAACTGCAGCATCACGATGGTATTTTGGCACCACGATGGATTTGTTGAAATTGTTGGATATTCAATTAATATCAATATAGAATTCAAGAAAAAAAGCAGACATAACAACTACTGAACATAGTCGGTCCTGAAAATTTTTAGGCCCTCGGCGAAATGTGGTAAACAATTCATAATGTTTTTATTTAAGAAAATAGATTCACAAAAATTTATCATATAATAGAAAATCAGTGAAATACAAAATTATAACTTAATTTCATAAATTAATTTGAAAAAAAAAAAATACTTATAAAATAACAAGAGGCATTGAACACCTTCACAATTTGTATGTGAAAAACATATGAACATATAATAATCAAAGTTTCAAACTCTCATTAACCTTAACCATATAGTTTAAGTTGTGTTCCACAGTAGTCAATTCTAGTTTAATGAATCTTTATTACAAAATACTCAATAACCATTTAAAAATATAAGAACCAAATACAAAATAAAGTGAAATTCGCATTTAAAAATGGATAAAATCACATCTCTTATTAATATACACACAAAGATTCATTAATGTACATTTTCTTTACGCTAATTAAGAAGTGGAAATCTCTCCGCAAACCCTAGCCCCATTCGTCTCTCAATCGCTGATCCTCTTCTCTCAATCGCGCAAGTAGTATCTCCCTCGCCGGAAGTTTGGATTCATAGGTGGATGGCCCTCTGTCGCCCGTCCATGGTGGTGCTTCCTTCTCTCATCGGCTGATCATCTCCCTACTTTGCGTCTCGACCGATGGAGCAGGTCCTTCCTCCTTGTTGGTCGACGGAGTCCAGGTACGGTCGAGATGGTAGGGGTGTGGCGCTGGCTCATGGATGTGGTCGAGATAGTTGCAATAGATTTCGGCTGGATCTTTGGGATAATGCTTCTCCTTTTTTCGCTTCTCTCGCTGCCGATCGGATCATGCCTTTTCGCCGGTGAAGCGGCGGTTGGCAGTGGACTCTTCCTATGTCGACACTTGGTTGTGTCAATTGGAGGTATGCCTTCATTTTTCTGCTGCTTTAGTCTCGGTTTCCCATTTTGTTCTCGATCGGCGGAACCTCTGGGTTCTCTCCTCGCGAGTTGGATTTGGGGGTTCATGGTTGGGAGTCGTAGCTGCTGCTGGGGACAGGTTGCTGTTTTTGGTCCGTGCTCGACTGTTTGATCATGTTCAGCTATTTCGGGTCGGGTTGAGCCGTCATTGTTTCTTCTCGTGATTGGAGGGCGGGCCAGCTCTACTGTTGGTCCTGGGGTGCGGTACTCGTCTTGCTAGGCTTTCTGCAGTGGCGGGCGGTTCATTCCATGTTCCGGAGCTATATGAGGAGTTGGTTGTCTGCTGTCTATCTGGATATCTCTGGCGAGGGAGGCTGTGTCCTTCTCTTGTTTTTTGTTTTAGTTTTAGTTTTAGGTTTGTTTGGTCTGTGTTCGGTGTTGTTTTTCGTGTTTTTGGTCTGTGCCGTTGGCCTCTGTGAGCCCGAGTGTCACCTTATTATCCCACTGGGATCCGACACTCGGGTATTACCCTGTTGGAGTCTTTTTAGTTGTTTTTAGTTTTAGTTGTGTTTGGTTGTTGTGTCGTTGTTTAGTTTAGTTGTGAGTGGTTTATTCTAACCTTGCTAGTCGGGATTCTAGGCGGTCTTCTGACTTGTCCTCCCACTTTTTCAGCTGTTGGCTGCTGATTATTCAGTCGTTGACTGCTGTGTATTTGCACTGTTGTGCGTTTTGGTTTATAAAATTTCTATCGTTTCGGGAAAAAAAATGTGACTGAATGAAATACACACAACAATTATTTTTTATATTCATGTAAGGAATTAAAAATTTAGATTGGTCAAGTAAATAAAGTAAAAGAACAAAAACTAAAAAATTATAATTTGATGGACAATTCTTATTAATTAACTTTACCGTGATTATTTCACATAAAGGGAAACAAGATAAAAATATATAGTTGTAAGAAAATAAGTGAAAATAAAACTCAATTTTTAAAAAATAATATAAAAAATAATATAATACTAAAATATATTTTTCTTTAATAAATAAAAATAATGGGCCCCACATAATTTTTGGGCCTTGGGCGGTCGCCCAGCTAGCCCTGCGCCAAGGCCGGCTTTGCTATTGAAACAACATCATATTATACTGAAGTTAACATTTTAGGGCACAAACTTGAAGTACACTGCAATTTCTCTATGTGATTTTCTAAACATCAAACTGCACCAAAATTGATATAATTAAACAATCGAATTTATCACACCCATCTGATCAGTTCGTCTCGAATATTTTGGTTTCGGTTAGATTTTGCCTACTTACATATACCATGATGGACCTTAATTTAATTGAATTGTGATTTAACGGGAAAACGAAAATAATTGTCAAAGCATGACCGTAATTTACTTCATGAGTGTAATTCTCGGTAAATGAATCAATTGTGCTTTTGAGCAATTGTTCTCACATTCTTCTTCTGTTTTGTATTCAATTCTGCTACGAATACTAACACAAAAGAATTGTATGTTTCGTTTGAATGAGAGGAAATATCCCTCCCTATATATTAATTCAAAACGTGTTGAGCCTAGGTAGCAGATTCTTAAGTTTCGGATGCTAACATGACCAAAATTTATGCTTCGTGATGATATTTTTATATTATTTTTATTCTGGATCAGTTTTGGTATTAGACATAAATAATTTTACACATATATTCATTAACTCAACACTCATGTTGTACATGGGTATTAATACTAGTTATAAGTTGTGTACTTGAATAATTAAAGCGTCACCAGTTGAGCTTCACATCTTACGTTGTCGTACTTTAGGGTTAGATTAATACAATTCATTATTTTAACACCAACTAAACTTGGCCTTGGTGGTTGATGGATGTGCCTTTCATCCAAGAGGTCAGGGCTTCAAGAGTTGGTAAGGAGAAGAAGAAAAAAAGGAAAAAAAAGAGGTATTATAAAATACCTCATTTTTATAATTTTTTTAAGAGAAAAGTTCAATAATCCTTGAGTTTTCTTGGATCTTTAAAAAAAAAAAAAAATCATTTTTTTAACTCAAATCTAACTCGATTTCACTATTTTCATTATTAGATAATATCCACTGAATCATTCTTACACATTACATAAACTTGAATTCACTCACATAATTTTAACTAATTATTAATTCACATCATCTTTCTCCGACTTGTAAATTAAATCAACTTTATTTATGTTGTTTTAAATATAATTTTAGGTTAAACTCAAAATCCAACTAACTAAGCATTTTATTTTTTTCAAAATTAACCATACCAAATCAAAAAATAGAAACAAAATCAAAACATCTTATATCCAAGCATCTCCAATTTTTTGTCATTTTGCTATAGAGAGCATCATCATATTAAAGATCTCCATCAATTTCAAACCAAACCACACTTTGCCCATAAGACGATGCAAGATCTCAAAGGGGGGACTCCAAATAAAAAAAAATTCAGACTCCAACCAAAATATTAATCAGACAGCAAGACGGCCGCTAAAAAGGACATGAAAAACTTGACAAAATCAACCACCACGGTACTCAAATTTACGCCACTAGTACCATAACAAAAAACCAAACTTGAAATTCTTGAACAGAAACTCTCAACTTGGACTGAGCTAAGAGGAAGATATGAACAAGTTGAAGCACAACCAAGAAGACATTGGGCAAAATGATTGTCATCACAGAAACATGGCAAATGAAAAAACTTGGAAAGATTATCAGTACTCCCATTTCTTCACCTCCATGCCATCAGGCGGGCTTCCTTCGACCTTCTTCGAACCAACTTCATTCCAATTTGTAGATAGCACAGTTCCATTCGATTCAATCTGTTACACCAAAGCATGGATGTCACAAGAAAGATCGCAGTTACAAAACTATCCTTGAGGCCTACTCGAGGCCTAGCCAAAGCACAAACATTTGCATGAATTTTCTAAAATAGAGTTGGTTTGTGTCTGTTTTGCACCCACAAACTGTGTCTGGGGCATTTAAATACTGAAAGATAACTCGGTCTTCTCGTCTGTTAAAACTCATAAGTCTTATCAGTAGATATCTTTTAAACAACTTATGAAAGTTAGAGATAAAGACAGACAACTATTTTAGTATTTTGATAAAGACCAGGAGCTGTTCTGAAAAAATAAAAAATAAAAAATAAAAATTTGTTACAGTTTTACTATAAACAAGTTTTTCACACACACCGACAGACTTTTACTAACTTTACAACCAGCCTAAAAGAACAAGGGTCTTTCTGTGATTTTTTAACAAGCCAAAGCCTGTCAGTAACTAACTCAAACATCAGCAGTAGTTCTTGTAATTATCACAAACCCCAACAAGATCAAAACATGTCCTCCTAATAATCCAATATATAATATCTCGTAAAAGTAGGGGTTTCAGTTCTTACAAAAGATTTGCTCATTGCTCGCCTAGTATCCTCATCGGCATCTTTGTATATCTCTCTAAAGAACTTGTTAAGAGCCGCATCACCATCGAGTTTCTCTTCCTTTTCCTGGTACAGGGAGGACACATCAAATGTGAAATGGAGGTTGAACTAGTTATTAATCAGAGTTGTAGAACATAGATATACAAATTTATTAGATACCTCCTTTTTCACTTGAGCTTCCAATTTATCCCAATCTACTCTTTTGGGTTTCGAAGATGGATAAGCAGGTTTCTGATTGCCTGTTGAACCAAAATTTCATAGGTAAGTTTTTCTGTACTGTATTTTGATTACAGAAAAATATCCAAATTTATGGAAATGTTATAAATAATATAAATGGAATTATCTCTCTAGAATTACAGACCACAACGATAATTACGACACCACTTTATTCAAATTTGCCTAACAAATAATAATGTTGTGGGATTTTGATTTTATATTAAAATAATATTTAAAAGTAGGAGAGAGATTATACGAAGTGAATTAGTTAAAATAATGTGAGTAGATGAATAGTAAATTAAAGTTGATGTAATGTGTAAGAATGATTGGTTGATATTACTTAATTATATTGATAATATCAAAGATAGTGGGGTTGAGTTAAAGTTGAGTTGGACTTTGAGTATAAATTGGGTGAGGATTGAGATATTTCACATACAACACACCCTAAATGAGCAGTACCTGATGATACATTTGCTTTCTGCGGAACAACAGCATCTCTCTGGTATTCAAGTGATGTCCAGTGCACAGTGTCTGCCTTGGCAAGACGAATCTCGATTTTCGTGGACATGACTTCATACTTGCATTTTGAAGGAACTATCTGCGCATTAAGAAGTTAATATGAATACACAGAATTGTTACAGAAATAAACCGTGAAAAAGGTACCATTCCACAATCATAGCAACAAGAAAATAGTTGAAGTCGAGAAATAATAAAAGACATGCATAGTTCCTATGGCAAAATATGGATAGCCAGTACAGGAAAAGGGAAAGAAAAACAAACACACCCCTACTATGCATTAACTAATTCAGCATTAGCAATATAACCAAGTGTACTATCGGTGTCACCTTTGATACTATTTCCTGCGGTAATTTATAAAATATGCAGAAAGTTAAAAAATCATGCAGAGCTCTAACTGGAGTTTTCCCACAGTATTGAACAGTGCACTGACAGGAAATTCTACAAAAAGCTTCCACTCACGAAATCATTCATAGAAAAATAGAATATAAGAAATTCAGAGTTGAATATAAGCAAGCAATCAAGCAAGTATTATTCCAAAGAAATAAATGAGCTTAGAAACAGATGTCGCACATCACCTTTCCAAATAATCTAGTTTGAAGATGATATGCTTCCTCACCAGGCACCTCGAGTGTAACATGAAGCTGAATTTCATATGAAGTTGGTTGGAAGCTCAAAAAAAGTTTAATTAAAAAATCATTTGAAATAAAAATGTTACACTAGGGGCAAATTTGGAGAATCGTGCTCTACTTACAATTTGTTCACCAAAGTCAACCACAACACTATTTGCTGGTATGCCCTTTGCAAATATTGTTACCACCACTTCCTCTGGTTTCTGATAGAATTCATGCCTGCAATTCACAGGGAGAAGATCGAAAAGAACACAGAGTGTCCAATGAATCAAGCCATAGACAAATAATGATTAATGAGTAATCACTGATCAGTTTAAAGAAAGGACAATTTGTTTGCTCTTAGTTTCAGGAAATTTGAAAAGATGCTATCAAACTGCTTCTCATTTCATTAGCACCAAATCAGAAAACCCCAATTTACCTGTATTTTGGCTTAGAAAGTGACGCTGTTGATCCTTGGCTGGTCAAGCTAACTGATGGAGCCAAATTATTTGGAGCCACCACAACTGATGGACTACTGTCAACCAATTTCTCAGGCAATTCTTCAGCTAGCTCTGAAATAGTCAAGAAATATATATCCATAGTGGAACAGACATAAACATCTACAGTAGAACCTCAGCATATTTCTCAACAACTAATGGCATAGCTATATGACAGGCCAGTGATTGGAATAAATGAAAGTTTACATCCGATTACGCAACTTAGTAATACCTTATAGAAGATGAGAGAGAGTCAATATGGTCAATACCACGATTGCTATTATAGAAGATGCAAATAATCACACAAGTGGCTAATCATATTACCGGCTGCTATGCGCTCATCACACTCTTTGATCAAGTTAGTGAACCTGGAATCTCCAGGTGCTAAAGAGGCACCAATTTCCAAAGCTGCCTTAGCAGTCTGGTACTCCTCAAGCTTGATGCATGCCATGCTGCACTCACAACATACATAACGATCAGATGATTCAGATGAAAACTTGGGCAGAGAAACTAAATGGAAAAGGTTGCACGCACGGTCAGTCCTTTTTACGAAAGAATCATCATGTTTTGAACCAAAAAAAAAAAAAAAAAATAATAATAACAGATACAAAGACAGAGAACATAAGATGACAGAAGGAAATGCTTTCATAAACAAAAACTCAAATGATCACAATTTTAAAACTAAACCCTAAAAGAACTAACCCTTTACGCAGATAAGCTTTTGTAATTGAAGAATTCAACCCGATAGCTTTATTCGCATCAGCAACAGCCTCTGCATGTTAAACATATGAAAATAAGAAACAACGCAAACAAATTTCTATAACAAACAAGAAATCTACCAGACAAACTAAAATTTCTGACTACAGATTGATTATTTTAACACATGCTAATGAATTTTTCAAATGAAATCAGTTCTCATAGGCAACATAGCAACAATAACTCTGTATTCAAGCTTTTCAAACCTCAGACTCTGAATTGCAATAAAAGATTCGTCAAATTTCAATAGATTTTAGGAAGCCGAAAGTTCCCATGCACTACTACTTGGATCCATGCACACGAAAACTTAAATAGCTATGCACAAAGCCGATATTTCTAACAAAAACTCCCCTAAAATCACACATTAGGATGAAATTGTTAACAAACCACTTGAAGGGCTCCTGGAATCAAAAACTTAATTAAGAATTGTCAACGTTTATCCAAGTGCTTAAGTTCTAACTCGAGTTTTTAACAATAATAAAGAATAGCAAAACAGTAGCCAATAGCTAAAACAATAGTCCACCTTGAGGGCGTAAATACCAAAAATATCGCCCAGAAACAATCTCAAAATCAAATTAAGAATTCCTGCACAAATAGAACTTAAAGCCGGCATCAAAGAATATCAAGAATTCCTTATATTCTATTACCAGTGAAGTTTTGGAGCTTAATATTTGCCTGAGCACGGTCGGCGAATAGTTCGGGGTTGCTAGGGCTTAAGGCAATGGCTTGAGAGTATAGGTCAACGGCTAGTTCGAAGTGGTCGTCTATGAACGCTTCATTAGCCTTCGCAACCAGATCCGGAGACGCCATTGATGCTCCGGTTCAAACTCAAAATACTGAACGATACGAATCTTATGGTTTTTCTGCTTCAGCACGCGATGTTTTATACTAGGGATTGTAGGATTGGAAGCAAGTATTTGGATATAATTTAGGGTAAATAATTGTTTTTAACCTATACAATACTAGAAAGTTGTGCTTAGCACAGCCGGCTCATACGGTTTATAATTTTATTTTTTTTGTTAATATTGCAAAGAGTTGTTTTTTTTTTTCAAAACGAAGAATATAATATAATCAAGAAAGCTAAATAGTTCAAGAATACAACACAAACAGACTGACTGTCCACAAACTAAAACACACACAATGAAGAAGAGACCCAAACATGTTGGTCTAGAAGAGGAAATAAAGGACTAATGGCAATCCATTGGGCAGTATAGAATACTGAAGCCCTGGGAAATGCTATTAGACAAATAAAATCAGACTAGCCACTGTGATAAACACCTAGCTAGAGGACACAGAGCAACAACAAAAAAACAGCAAGAAAATCAAGATATAGCAGAAAATTCCAGCCATTCTGAGGTTGCTGCCCTAATGATAGCAATCTCAGGCTGCCATTGATCCTTAAAGACCCAAAGATTTCTAGATTTCCATAACCACCATAAGATGTAGGTGGTTAGCTGGATCCTTTCTTCAGCAGCCTTATTGATGTGGTCATTAATAGCGGCTCATGAAAGACCGGTTGTGACCCAGGTTCTAGTTGCACTCAGCTGGGTGGTTCCATTTGGTAGGCGGATGCTTTGGTAGGCGGATGCTTTGGTAGGCGGAGGCTTTGGTAGGCGGAGGCTTTGGTAGGCGGATGCTTTGGTAGGCGGATGCTTTGGTAGGCGGAGGCTTTGGTAGGCGGATGCTTTGGTAGGCGGAGGCTTTGGTAGGCGGATGCTTTGGTAGGCGGAGGCTTTGGTAGGTGGATGCTTTGGAAGGCGGATGCTTTGGTAGGCAGATGCTTTGGTAGGCGGAGGCTCTGGTAGGCGTAGCCCATGGTACCTTTGGAGTACATGGGTGGTAGGTGGACGCTAGCTCAACGTGAGCTAGGCAGGGCACCTTGGCACCTAGGTAGCTGGACGTTCCGCTGGGAAGACTCGAGCCCATAGGTGGTATCGTGTTCAAGTCATGAAGAGGTTCGCAACCTCAAGGACTCTTAGGATCTTGACCTAATTCAGATAAAGACTCCTAGTATGATAAGAACTCTTCAACTACTACATGACCTCATCTATAAAAGGGCACATGTTCATTCATTCTGAATGATATATACATACAAATTCTCTCGTTACTCTACCGTTTCTTCTTCGGACCACCACTGACTTGAGCGTCGGAGTGTTCACGCCGGGACCACCTCCGGTGTGTTTTGCAGGTACCGGTGATCAAGGAGACGTAACCCGGTTCGAAGAGGAGCGGTCCAGCGGTCCAGCGGTCCAGGTTTGTGTGGTAGAACAAATTGGCGCCGTCTGTGGGGACAAATCAGTCTTCTACCGGAGCATTAAAGGTTGTTTTTGTCTCACCAAAGAAGAATAGAACAAGGATCATGGCAGGAGATAATTCGAAGAAGAGCTTGACTAAGGAGATGGATGAGGAGTGGGCTCGGAGGGCCTTCGGGACAGGTCTCCCGCCAGGATGGTCACCATCACCTGTCACCCCCAAAGAGACGTTGTTGGGCCCATGTGTGACCCTGGTACCACCATCAGAAGTTGAGGGCGCGTGCTAAACCAGGGAGGATCAGGTGGTTTGACAGACAAAGCGAAGGAGGTGGGCGCCACGGTTGATGGGGGGACGAATCAAGGTGCTTTGGGATCTGGAGGTGCTGGTGATCAGAATGGGGTCCCTAGTAGTAGGCAGTTGGTCGTGGTAAGAGCACAAAACCCTCCGGGGGACAATGTTTCTTCGGCACCACGGGAGGACCCGGTTATTCAGATGACCAGGTCGGAGTTGGACAAGATCATTGCTGAGGCGATAGGCCGGGCTCAGGAGGTGGATAAGAGAGCACCAAACGAGTCGTTTCGACAACCTCCGCCACGGCAGCCATTAGCACCACAACAACAGGTCCTCTCGCACCAGCAGCAGCACCAGCGCTTGGAGAGGGGCGATGAGGACGATGTCAGGTCGGTGACCTCCCGTCCGGTGGCAACGACACAACCAGATGGGTTAACTTTGGAAAGGTTGGCATCTCAAATGCGAGAACTCCAATCTCGGGTGCATGGTAAGAGACTTGTAGTTTCACGAGGACACCCTTTTGCAGAGGATGTCCTGGGAGGGAATTTGCCTAGCAACTTCAGGAAGTTGAGTTTGTCCTATGATGGGTCGGCGGACTCGGCTAGGCACTTGAGATCGTTTGACAACATAGCCGTGCTGCATAGGCATAGTGATGCTATGAGCTGTCGAGCCTTTTTGACGACCTTGAAGGGGTCGGCGCAAGATTGGTTCCAGCAGTTGCCGGCGGGATCTATCGATAGCTTCGAAAAGTTTAGCTCTTTGTTTCTGAATCAGTTTGCGAGCGCCAGGAAGCACGAGAAGACGTATCTCTCACTAATCAATATGCAGCAGAAGGAGGGGGAGACCTTGCGGCAATATGTAGCATGGTATACCAAAGAGTGCGTAGAGGTTCCCTCTGCCTCGGAAGAGATCAAAGCTGGAGGCCTTACGCGGGGGTTGAGGCCGGGGAAGTGTAGAGATTCGTTGGCGAAGAGGCCGGCGAGGTCCTTTGACGAGTTACTTGGGAGGTGTAGCAAATATGTGAAAGGGAGGAATCGGAGGCGGACTTCATCCGAAATGACAAAACAAAGGCCAAGCAGGTGGATGAGAGGCCTCGACAGGGTGATCGGCGAGCTGCCCCTAAGGAGGCTAAGATCGAGGATCGGTTTAGGGGTCCAAGGTATGAGCATTACAAACCACTTAACGCACCCCAACAAGAGATCCTGGAGATAATGGAAAAACGGGGGGAGGACAAGTTGTTGGCGCAGCCAAAGCCTCTGCCCCCACCGAGGAAGTTCTCGGCGTCAAAGGATAGGTATTATCGGTACTACCGCGATTATGGCCATTCTACAAATTTCTGTCGGGAGTTGAAGGATGAAATCGAGCAGCTCATTAGAGCCGGTCACTTAAAAGAGTTCGTGATTAAGGACAAAGAGCGTCAGGACGATCGTCGGGAGGGGAGAGATTCGGGTGACAAACGGAGGAGGACTGATGAGCAAACTGACATACCAGTTAAGAGGGGCATAATACACATGATCGCGTGAGGTCCTACTGATGGAGACTCCCATAGGGAGAGGAAGAGGACCTACCGGGGAAAGAGTGTGGCAGGAGAGGTGGCTGAGGTGCAGGTTCAGAGGAGTTCAGCCACTCTAAAGTTTGGAGCTGATGATGTGCAGGGACTCGTTGTCCCACATAATGACGCTTTGGTAATTACTGTGGAGGTGGCCAGTTACGATGTGCAAAAGGTGCTCATAGACACAGGGAGCTCAGCGGACATCATTTTCTTGAAGTGTTTGCAGCAGATGGAGTTATATGTGAAGGTCGAGCCAGTCCACACTGCTCTCTATGGCTTTAGTGGTAGTGAGGTTCGCCCCGTAGGCGAAGTTAGCTTAACAGTAACGTTAGGAAGGTCACCTTTGAGAAAGGTGAAGATGGTGTGCTTTCGGGTCGTGGATGCTAGCTCGGCCTACAACATCATACTGGGGCGACCTAGCTTGAATTCATTCCAGGCAGCCATTTCCACTTATTGCATGAAGATTAAATTCCCTGTAGAAGATGAGGTTGGAGAGGTGACTAGGGACCAGCTGCAATCTCGACGGTGCTATGAGGTCACCTTGAAGACGGCTGAGGCACAACACAGGAAAATGAAGGATGACCTACCTGAGAGCTCCCACCGGGAGAAGAGGCAAGAGCTGGGGATGAGCTCTCAGGACGAACTTATGGAAGTTGAATTGATAGAAGGAAGTTCAGACAAGACAACCAAAGTAGGTCGGCAATTGGCGACCGATGTACAAGGTGCGCTGATTGCACTGTTGAAAGAGTTTGTGGATGTTTTTGCCTTTTCGGCCGACGACCTTACATGAATCGATCCCGAGGTAGCGGAGCAGAGGTTAAACATCGATCCAACTATGAAGCCGGTGAAGCAAAAGAGAAGGCACTTTGGTGCCGATCTGGACGTGGTTATTGAGGCAGAGATGGAGAAGCTGTTAAAGGCGGGGCATGCGCTACCCATTCAGTTCTCAGAGTGGTTGTCCAACTCAGTCATGGTAAGGAAGGGAGAAGGAAAGTGGAGGATGTGCATAGACTTCAGGGATCTCAACAAAGCGTGCCCCAAAGATCATTACCCCTTACAGCGTATTGACCAGCTCGTCAACTCTACAGCTGGGTGCGAGTTGTTGAGCATGATGGACGCATCTCAAGGGTACCACCAGATACCTCTCGCCAAAGAGGACCTGAAGAGAGTTAGGTTTGTGACATCCAAGGGCACCTATTTTTACGTTGTCATGCCTTTCGGATTGAAGAATGCGGGAGCTACCTACCAACGGTTGGTGGATAAAATGTTCAAAGGGCAGATTGGTAGAAATATGGAGATCTACGTTGATGACATGCTAGTAAAGAGCAGGAAGGCGGATGATCACGTGGTAGACTTGCGCGATACCTTGAGTACCCTACGACGGTACGGCATGAAGCTCAACCCGGCTAAGTGCAAGTTTGGGGTAAGGTCAGGAAAATTCCTGGGCTACTTGGTCACGGAGAGGGGCATAGAGGTCAACCCAGAGAAGGTACGAGCTGTTTTGGAGATGCAAGCACCGAGGAACTTGAGGGAGGTGCAGATCCTAACCGGACTCCTAGCAGGGTTGAGCAGGTTCATAGCTCAATCCGCAGAGAAGAGTTTTCCATTTTTTAAGGCTTTGAATAAGTGGTCGCGGTTCGAGTGGACGTCGCAAGAACAACAGGCCTTTGAAAGGTTAAAGGAGTTTCTAGCTGAACTCCCCTTACTCACAAAA